AAAAAAAAAAAAAAAAAAGAAAAGAAGAAAAAAAGAATGTCTCGAAGCCTTTGTCGTTTTTCCTCCATCCTGTTCTAGCCATCCCTCGTTGCCACATACCCTTCGATCGATCATTCGATTCCCCCACGACTGCTGTCTCGATCTGTGAGAAGAGACTGCGAGCAACTGCTTCTTCTAGATATACTTGCACGCGAGAGGTGAGCGATAGTTTTCTAGATTTCTACCGTGACGTGTTCCCACCGAGTAATTCTCTCGAAGCTCGCACCATAGCGCCGACGACACGTCGTTCGTTCTAAACGGTCCGACTCACGAACGAGCGAGGAGGAATGCGATCGATTATGCCGGTGGCCGGCTAATCGCGAGCGCATGCATCGAGAGCAGAGAGACAATACGTGCCAGAAGGAGTCGGTTCTGCCTCGTATCACGAAGAGGAGAGGACAGTCGGTCGACGGCGGCAGCAGCAGCATCGCCGGATGAATATGAAACGTCCTCCCGTTCTCGGAACCGGCCGTAAGATGTACTTATAAAAATGCAAAGCGACCGACTTCTGGGTGGTTGCGGGACAAGCTTGGTTATTAGTAAACATTTAAATCGACAATCGCTATAGGTATAGCCGGAGAGAGTAGCAGCAACAGCAGCAGGGAATGCCAACCTGGTTCCCTTCTTTTGCCCTGTTCTGCTCGCTCTCTTCCCTCTGTCGCTGTCCCACTAGCGTGGCCGCTCCTTTCCTCCGTCTCGTTCTTCGTCCGGCCGGAGCAAGAGAGCAACAGCGGAGAGCAACGCAGGCCAGATCGAGCGTGGTGGAGGAAACAAGAAATCAAGCCGCGGGACCACCCGCCACGGCCTTGGGGGCACCGAGCCGCGGATCCCAAGGAGGTCTATCCCGTCTTCATGAATCAACCCGTTCCTGAATCGGCATAAACCTTCAAAGGGTTGTTGTGCGGGTCCTGCCTCCGCGTGCCCCGCTCGCTAGATCCCGCAGAGTTATGTCGTGGACACTCGTGTCCATCCTTTCCGTCTCGCTCCCTCTGCTCGTTCCGCGACACTCGCTCTCCGTTCTTCGCTGCTGCTGCTGCTGCTGTTGCCTTCCTCATGAAAATTCGACCAGTACGAACACAACTATACACTCGTTCGTGGAAAAGCGGGGGCCAAGGTCGCACGAAGAGATTTGAAACATCGAACGAGGGGGTGAGCCCTGATTGTCTATCGATACGTACTTCTTTCTTAGTAATTTATTGCTTCAACAGCGAGGAATTTCGTGGGTTCGTGGGAGATCCTCCGTTCATTCCGTTCAACCAGCGAAATCAATTTGTCGTTGTACCGGCGATTACGCGGCTCCGCGAGGCGCGAGTGAACGTCTAATTTTAGAAATACAAAAACGTATTAATGCGGCGAACGACGTTTAAATTGGTCGGGTAAACCCGTTTTTCGCCACCGTAAAGATAC